TTTGTAGGTTATCCTTCTAATTTTTATTCGGGTCATTCAAAATAATATTAAAGAAGTTTGACAATAATAATTCATAAACTCTGAATTATCGTATAATTAGTTAAATCAGATAATATCATTTGAATTAATTCTAGTTTTCTGACGACTTGTGTTTCCGACTTTCGTTATAACTCAAATATCAACTTTAAAAATGTTCAATTCATGATTTTACCAATGCTTATTCAAAATTATTTTTTTGTCAATTTTACACATATTTTATTTTTTATCTCGAAAACTATCAGAGATAAGAGAGTAGTTTCCAAAAATGTAATAATATACTTCCATTTAAAATAACAAAGATGCTACCACTTTTCAAATGATACGGCAACACTGTAACGCTGATAATATTTTAGATAGATGGAACAGGTGCCTTTATATAAAAATCAAAACTTTTGAAACAATTCTCAACAAACTCTCTTCAATCGCCCGTCGTCCTATTACCTTCACCGGAAAGTCGATTACCACTAGCGACTAGACAGCTAACTTTTGGGCGATAAGGATATTTCGAGATTTTTCATTTTTTCCTTCCATTATAAGCTTAAAGCTACATAAGAGTGCAATTCTGTAATATTTTGTTACACCGCTGTAAACTTACAGTGTTGTAACGTTACATAGTGTGTAAGGTCGGGTTTTACAGTTTTATGATAATATGGTATTCTATACTAACGCTGTACGGGTGGCGTAATTACTATCTGTACTATTGTGCAGAGCCAACCTGCTCTATACGCCGGTAGACTTTGTAATGGAGGACTACGCCGCGCCGTTTTTAAATATTTCTAACTATACTAATGTACAGCGCAAGCAAGCTCTGCATCGCAGTATTGTTAGTAAACGTGTAAAGCCGAGTCCACATATGTAGCATCTTCGTGTATCATATCTCCGACGCGTTGCACCAACATGTTTCATGATCGCTAGTTTGGACGCCGAATTAACGCGATCTTATGGTACACCTTTGTGGTACCGTATCTGATACATGCCAATCCGAATTTTGGCGCGTATCTTAACACTGCGTATCGGATACACGTATCACGATCTGTCATTTGGACGTGTTTTGATACAGTATAACGATACAATTGACTTGATACGCCGTGACCCGTCTTGAGGCGGTTTTTCTCCGATCATCAAAGGGGCATTGAGGGTTCGCTGAGAAGAATTGATGAACATGATACGACGATACAAGGTGATTTGTTGTACCGTCCATATACAATGATACGCACGCTTGTACGCTGGTACGTATGAATTTTATAACTATGGACGCTTACTTTGGCACGATATGCATATTCAGTCGACACAGCCCAAATAAACGTCCATACTTACGATACAAGCTCTTGATACGTGATACATGATCCTGATACAATAGAGTGCTACATATGTAGACCCGGCTTAAGTAGCCGTGTTTAAAAGCTTCTAAACATACTATATTTACGCTACGCGCGCTAGGCCAAGACAAAAACTTTTATTTACTTTTGTACTGACAATTTATTTATCATTTTATTGTTGACTTAACACATTGTAATATTATTAGTATTACATTGTCAATATTTCTCTTGATCGTTTAATTGACCAATAAATTGGCAGTGTAAAAACTAGTTTTAAAGTTTTAGTTTAACATTTTTATTTTACACATTATTATTAACAAGAAAAGCTGGTAAAAGGCGAGTGTACAAAAGAAAATAATAATATTAATGTGATTTTGCATTATTTCTATTTGCAGATACAGCATCTGCTAATGATCTTCCATGTGAACGTTTTCTAACAGTTCTATCGTTCTTGGCAGGCTCCAGCTTGTATTCTTCTAGACCCAGATGTCAATCCAGGCCTTTCAGCTCTTCGGCTTATTGACGTATGTTGCACTTTTATTGTCTTCGGTCTACGAATGTTCTTCATTTTTGCAAATAAAGTCATGACCTCGGCAGGTGTTTTAATCCTCTCTAATGAGTTATTTAAACGTATTATCATATCTTCCGGTGTGTTTTCGTTTTTCATTATTTGAAGTATATTCAAGAGATTAGCGCTCAATGTTTGCATAGCCATTTCTCGTTTGATATCGATCCCCTGCGTTTCAGGCAAGGAAGATGTCTGTAAGGGAATATCATTTGATGATGGAACTTCATCTATTTCAAAGTGAAATCTGACGTTGTCTTGACTGAAACTTGATATTTCATTGTCAGGAGAAGAAGTTTCCATCATGTTCTCGAAAAATGCTGTATCAATATTCTCTCCCGTAGCTAATTTAGCTAAGTCTTTTCTGTCATCTGATGAAAGTTTTGGAATATTATAGTTGCTTAAAACATGATAAGTTTCTTCGAACAGTGCAGCGCGTGAGAAAAAAACAAATCGCGATCATGATCTGCGCTCGAGTATATTTAGACGTAAGTAGACACGGCTACTTACACATTTACTAACAATATTGCGATGAAGAACTTGCTTGCGCTGTACATTAGTATAGTTAGAAATATTTAAAAACGCGTAGTCCTCCATTACAAAGTCTACCGGCGTATAGAGCAAGTTGGTTCTGCACAATAGCACATAGTAATTACGCGTACGGGTGCGCTGTACGCCATGGTTACATCCTTATGTTTATACCGCAACAATTAAAATATTGATAGGTCTCTGACATTGATTAACCTCAAATGTAAGGATTTACATTGGATTTACATCTGCATTCTCTAGGATGTATAGTTACAGCGAATGTATGCACTCCTACAGCGTAATGTAAGTTACAGAATTGCAATTTAGCTACATTTTCTACATCGCCTCAAGGTTATATCGATACAGGGCGTAAATGACGATACAGAATCTTACACCCTATGTAATGTTACACCACTGTAAGTTTACAGCGGTGTAACAAAATAATACAGAATCGCACCATAAAATTCAAAATTTAAAGTTTGTGACACATCTAGTAGTGCTTTAGAATTTTGATTACGGCGAGTGAGTCACTGGCGAAGTTAAAGAAGTTTGACTAGAAGAAATTCATAATCCTTGAATTATTGTTTAAGATATTTATTTAATATTTTAAATCAGAATATTTACGAAAATAAAATAAAAAAAATTATGCCCTGAGGCAGCCTTGAACTCGGGCCTCCCGGTGTACTAGCGGAATACTTTCGCGCCGCGCTATTAAGCCTTGCTCGATATATGTTCAAACCTAGCATTTCACATATTAAACTAAAAAAATAAATAGGGACTTCATTACAAGTTAAAGTCTGACTAGAAAAAAATCATAATCCTTGAATTATTGTTGGTACATTGATATATAAATAAAATCAGAGACCGCTACGATTAATTCTAGTTTTCTACCTTTTTCGCGACTGGAAAGCCAATTACCGGTAGCGGCTAGACAGCTAACTTTTAATCCATAAGGATATTTCAAGATTTTTCATTTATTCCTTTGGTTATAAGTTTAAAGGTAACTAAAATTCTAAATTTGGAGTTTGTGACACATCTAGAAGTACCTTAGAATTTTGATGATCTATCAGTGAATCAATGTCGAAATTAAAGAAATTTGACAAGCGATAATTCATAAACTATGAGGGATAATTACTAGATATTTTGGTAACCTAACCAGCTATAGTATGTCTTCAAGTGTAGTGAAAATGAATATTTATTCTTATCCACAACGAAGTTACAGGGTGGTCAAAAGTGTCGCTAATACCTTCGAGAAAAGGATGGTACGGCTGTGCTCGACTTGGCGGGGATGCTACCGTGCCCCCAGATATGCATACATGTGTTGTTCTCTCAATACTCTATTATTGGTTCTAAGTAGTATGCTTTTTTATTACTGTTAAAAAGTACGAGATATTACTTGGTGTGTAATTAATTACCCAATATTTGTACAAACATAAAATAAATCGTAAAAATATTCAAAAGCAATAAAACAAGGCGATGTCAGTTTTAGTTATCTGACAGTATTCATAGTTCAGTTATCTTATTAGTAATCTTTCTACATTTTCAAATATTTTAAACGTTCATTTTAAATATCCGTTATGTAGACAATTCAAATGTAAACTATTTGTACTCTCTATTATTAAAACCCTTCAGTGTCAAATCAAACACAGGACAAACAAAACCAAATATTTATATTGTATTTAAATATATTATAAATATTTGCCTATGTAACCAATGTGACTTTATCTTGGTTTATAATTATTACATCATATAATTCTTTAATATACATATTTCTAACATATAAATATCCTTAATGAGGATAAAAATAATTCTAATAACCTTCACTAGCAGCTAATATTTAAATATTCACTATATTTTAAACATTATTTTATAGTAAAGTATACTCAGTTATACTCAATTATTTTATATAGAGTATCCTCAGTTTTACTTTGATTTGTGCGTATTCTTTTATAAATAAATAAAAACAAATTTTGAAATCTTATCCATAGTCCATAGAGTTAAACCGTAATCCATTTTATATTCCCTATTGGGCAAAAAATCAACCAACAAAAAAATGTTAAAATCCGTAGATGACTCTCATATAGATTATCGGTACAGCTGGTATTAGGCTTCATGAAAATACTAACTTCCACATGTAGAATATAGAATGAGTAAGAGGGGGGCGTTAATCACTGCGACCTTAAATATTTATTGTGCCTCCCTTCCCTAAGAACACAATCTATAACCCATCACACAATCTATAACCCATCATACCCCTGTTGTAGAGGGGACAGGGTATTTCCCATCCTCCTCTGACAACAGTTCTTCCTCCGAGGGTACACAACCTTCCACGGTTGCAGTTTGGCCCTCCGTGCCGCTCTTCACAGTCGAGGAGCTTGCCTCCAGCTGAGGAACCCGTGAGGTGGAGGCTGGAGGATCTGTCTCCATTTTCTCCACCTCTTTAACTTGGTCACATTCTACATTCTACATATACAACTTCCACATAGATAAAGGAAGCTATTTCGCTATTTTCCTTTATAGCATTCAAATATATTATATTTTTATTGCAGTAAACTATGGAACACAATGCACAGACCAGACTTAGTAGAACCAGCGATAAGAACTACATTGAAAGATCTAGGCCTCGATTATTTAGACTTATATTTGATCCACTGGCCTTACGCTTTTAAGGTAATTTATTTAATTAAATCTTGTTAAATTTATTTCGAATTTATATTAAAACTAGTGGTTATAGTCTGATACCATTGAAATCAGTTGATTTTTTTTGTTATTTTATAAATACACATATTAAGAAGAACATTAATCCATATTTCATTTGATGTAATGTTATGTACTTAAATAATATTAAGGTATATAAATATTTTAGGAAGGAGGTGACTTATTTCCCGTAGATGAAAGTGGGAAAACTTTGTTTAGCGATGTTGACTATTTGGACACATGGAAAGAAATGGAAAAACTGGTTCAAAAAGGTCTCACAAAATCTATTGGAGTTTCCAATTTCAACAAGAGGCAACTCGAAAGGGTATTAGCCAACGCTACTATTCCTCCAGTAACTAATCAGGTAAGTTATAAACATTCCAGTTATATATATCGCAGACGCAGACGTATCGAATAATTCGGAATTTCGCAAAAAGACTAGATATATATTATTCTTCAAAATGCTTAGTGAAGACTAGTCAGATTGCACAAAATATTTTACACGGAATTAGTATAACCCTTCTCTAATCTGAATTTGTCCAAGGAACATTTCTTAAACTTGATTTTCAAAATTAGAAAATAATGGCACAAAATAGTGATGATTCTGTTAATGAGAGTGTGGTCAAGGACGATTAATATTAAGAACTAAATTCATTTTACTCTAAAAGACAGCAAAGTTCCACAAAGGAGCACTGGATACAGAATCGAATTACAGAGTATACTTTTTGCCTTTTTTGAGTTGAGAGACTGAGATACTTTTTTGCTTTATTTTCAGTATTATAATGAATATAGCTTCATTTCAAGTGTAAATATGACGGATAAATTATATACAGGGTGAGTTTCCCACGATGTTCTCTATGGGTATCTCGGAAACTACTGAAGATAGAGAGTCGGTTAAATTGTTAAATGGAGAAAGAATTGCAGTTTTGTGGGGTCATAAATATGGACCTTTCAGATTTTAGAAATAATTCAGATAAAAGTTGTAGATAATCACATCCCTAATGAGTTTGTGTTCTCCGATTTTTTCTAAGGCCTGTCATTTTTGACATATGACACAAACATATGTTTTTTTAAATGGAAACCATAGTTGGCCATGACTTCATAAAAAGCGCCATTTTTTGAGCTTTTCAGAGATATAAGCTATAATATGTTTCTTTTTTCACAAAATTACTGAGTTATAGCCAATTCTTATCTTTCTTGACTAATTTCACTTAGTTAGCCATGGAAACAAGTTCGATCGTCGTTGATCTCAGAAATATGAAACTGTCACATCCAAATTTTGTAAATTAAAATAAACAAAAATTGTAAATATGAATTTTTCAAATGAAGAAAAGCTTGTAGGATTATTGGATCAACTTTTCTTGGGCATACAGTTTCGAGGATACATTGACCGGTGAACGTTACTTACGTTTTTTAGAGACGGTTTTCAAGACATGTTAGAAAAGTTAAATTTAGATACTCGCGAAGAAGACTGAAAAAGACCTAAGAATGGTCGAAACGTAAGAAATAAAAACAACTTTTAATTATTATGTTTTAAATTGAGGGCCTAAAACCACAAGAATAAATCCCAACAAATATACAAAAGGTCAAAGAAAAAATTAGATTTATAAATTTATATTATTAGGTTTACCAGTTTTTATTTTTTTTAATAGATTGAAGTTCATCCATATTTAAATCAACAAAAACTAATCGACTTTTGTCGTTCGAAAAACATCGTCGTAACAGCGTACAGTCCCCTGGGTTCGCCTGATAGACCATGGGCGAAACCTGACGATCCCCAGTTGCTGGAAGACCCCAAAATTAAAGCCATCGCCATTAAATATGGTAAATCACCCGCCCAAGTTGTAATTAGGTAAGAAATCTTAGAATTTAATTTTATAATAAAACTTTATATTTTCTTTATATTTATTATGGCAAACACAATCTTGTATTTTAGCGAAGAGGTTAACCACAGTTTGGGGGCAGAAAAAAAAAGAAAATTGCCAAAGAAATATTTCTTAGTCACAGTATTCAGTATTTAGTGTTGGGGGTTTTTGACCCCGGCTCGGGGTTACATTTTTTTAACCCCGGCTCGGGGTTAAATTTTAAATTATTTATGTCATACAAGAATCCACAATTCTTGTAATATTCAGTGAGTGCAGTAAATCTTGGGTTAATGTCTTGTATCACGGCGTCAAGCATTGTAATAAAAAAATCAATTCTGAATGTACCTCCAGCGGAAGCAATAGCATCATCTACAGATCCACAATTAAACATTTTATTTTTCTTGCGAACCCTTTTCCCTTTAAAAGTCGTTGTAATCACACAACTGCTCTTTTCTATGAATTCATAGACTTTTTCAGTACATTCATCAAAGCCTGTTGTAAGTTTTTATTTAATTGTTGTAATTAACGGCGATTTTAAGTTTGGTGGGATTGCATTTAAAGAGGCTCCTTTAAGTGCGAGGCCGTGAGGGAGGGCCCACTTCACCCATGAGGGGGACACAATACGGCTTTAAGGTCGCGGTGATTAACCTTCCTTTCACTCATTCTACATTCGACATTTTACTTCGTTCTATTTCACGAATAGTGTAGGGCACGTTCTACAAGCTTAGCAGATCATTTAGAGCATTTTTCACAACATGAAAAATCATAATAATTGGAAATCTAAAAAACGTTAATATTTGACCATTCTACTATAATAGCAAACTGTTCCGTATTTTACCGATATTTTTCAGGAATCGATCCCAGATTACTTTACCAGCCTGGATAACCTGGGTTTACAACGAAATACAGCCTAAAATAGAGTGCATATCTAAATATGATAAATATTTTATTTCGATAACAACATTTTAACAACTATATTGTATCTGTATTTATTATGATATATTTTTTAATCTTACTATATTAATGGTAAAATTATCCTTGAACCAAATTTTTAGGTACGGTATTCAAAGAGGCCTAATTATTATTCCAAAGTCGGTGACAAAATCCAGAATTCAACAGAATTTCGATATCTGGGATTTCCAGTTGTCTGAAGAAGATATTGCTCAACTGAACACATTTGATTGCAATGGAAGAGCTTGTGCATCTATTGAGTAAGTAGCTGTTATTAAGGTGACCAACTATTTTTTGTTCAAAAAGAGTACGCTTTGCAAAGTATTTCATAGGTGAAAAAAAAAGAAGAATAAACGATAAAAACTCTATTTTCTTTTAAAGACATATTTTTCTTCGGAGTGGATTTTTTTTGCTAAATGCGGATTTTCGTCCAATAATGTAGCCACATCCGAACAACTTTTATTTTGCATATTAAATTTGACTGCTAAGACGGCAGATAATGTTTTTACAGAAAGTTGCGACTTCTCACTGCTCCAATAATTATTCCCCAGTGAAAATACCCTTTCAACAGCAGCATTAGTACCTGGACATAAGGAAATTTCTATTAAAACTTTTAAATTTTCATGTGGGATATGTTCTACTCTAAAATGCCGAAGGATTTCTATCCATCTTTTGTCAAGTTCTATTTTCTCATCGTTCCATTTCTTCAATTTTTCTTCCTTTAAATATAAATTTACTCTTCGAATTTCTTCAAAGAGAAAATTGTCATCAATAACAATATCTTTTACTTCCTTCATTACAAATTCGACTGCTGATGAAACTTCTTTCCATTCAATTTTACTATTTAGAAGGGTCCATTTGAAACAATTTAATGCTCTAAAGTTCACTATCCATTCTTCGATAAATTCATTTTTTATTCCGGGATTGGAATCTTCCAAAACGGTCAGTTTATTCTTTAGAATTAGTGGTAAAAATCCATCATTATATCTTGATTTACATTGCAGTAAGAAATCGTTTAATATAATACAAACTGCTGAAATTTTATCTTCTTCAATTTGTAGAGTAATTTTATGAAACAACGACGCCTGACTGTGAATAAAATAAAGCATAGGTTCTGACATATCGTTTTGAAAGAATTTCTTCAAAATTGTAGGACATTTGTCAAGGCTTAAAAAATATGAACGTAGTGGATCATATAACTGCAAAACGCGTTCTAATGCTGGTGTTAAGGCAAGCCATCTGACTTTGGAATAACCAAGCAGTTTTTTGTATTGGACACCAGCCTCTTCACAAAATTCTTTCAAACTTGCTACCCGTACTGTAAACCGATGGAAATATAAATATATATTTGTAATAATTACTTCCACACTATTGACATTGAACTTGATGCTGTATTGATGGCATTTGATATAATATGAGCATTACAACCAATTCCCAAAATATTTCGTTTCAGAAGATCTTGTAATTTTGTGTACACATTATTGACACCTTTACGGGTGCGTTCTCCAAAATTAGTATTTGTGTTATCAGCCGAGAGCGCCAAAATTTTCTTATTCAAATTGTTGTCTGTTATAACTCGAAATAAGTGATTAGACAAAATGTCTGATGTTTCCCCTTCGATTGATTCCAAATTTAAAATCTTAATTTGAATACCGTTCTTAATATCGAAATACCTTACTAAAATTGGATAAAGTTTTATTTCATTGTGATTCGATGGGTCTGATAGAATAGATATATATGATACAGAATCCAGATTTTCTGATAGCGTTTCCTTGCAGTATTCATTAAATACGCTGGTTACGATAGACTCACATTTTGTTCGCGCACAAGAAAATTTTTGTCACAAATTTTTTTAATAATTTAGTAGTGCAGTCCATGCTGCCAAAACTTTGATTATGGATTATTGTGTGAAAAGCAGAAGTACCCTCCATAACTGCCAATTTTTTTTCATTAGTTCCAAAAGTATTCCCTTTAAAAAATGTTGTCAGTTTGGATGTTGACGCTGCTGTGTCATGAGACGTTTTATGTACTTTAGTTTCAATGTGTGCCGTTATTGCACTACGTCCATGAATTGCAATTGAAAATTCCCTATTGCAGATTGTGCATTTAACCAAGGAGTCATCATTTCGATTTTTAACTACAATGAACGGAAACTCTTTTTTAAATTTTCGTTTAAACGATTTTCCTTCTTTTGTTATCGCTCATATTTGAATTAATAATCTAAAAATTATATTACCAATATATTATTACTTACTTAAAAATTATATTACCAATATATATTACCAATATAATTTTTATTTTGATTTTAAATAAATATTATAATCTGATATTATTTAAGTAAAATTAAAATGAAACTATAATATTATTACTTACATGCAACTTCACCTTCACTAGATAAATAAAATAAAATTATATTTTATTTTGTATGTACACCTCAAATCTTGTTAACTTGAACAAAAAGTACGAAATTGTTGATTTTCTCTAACTTCAAATTAATTAAACAGAAAGGGAATTCCCATAAAACTTTGCCGTACATACTACGCATGCCTCAAGACTGTCAAGTATGCCGTACATACCACAGTACATACTGCACATCAGCTTGGGGATTACGTACACAAATATTGGAGAGATAGATATCTCCATCTCTTTTCACAAATGTAATTTTGACGTTGTTAGAAAAAGAGGTCTGTAGTATCTATCTATTTCCCCAGGTACATAATACGGCCTCTCAATTGTGCCGGAAACGGCAGCCATATGTGCGCGCGAAATTCAAATGACTGTCAAACTCGTGTTTGGTGTTTGCCCTGTCCTCTGACGTGCCGGAAACAGCAAGCAATATGCGCGCGTGAAATTAAAATCACTGTCAAAATAATTTTAAATATTTAATTAATAAAATTGAAATAAAATAATCTAAAAAAAAGTTTTAGAAATACAAATGAGTATAAAATTATACAAATGAGTACTTTCAGAGTACAGGATTTGAAAAGAGTACGGTTTGCGAAAAAAGAGTACAAAACTCAGTAAATGAGTATAGTTGGTCACCTTACTGTTATATACAGTATTTTCATTAGGACTTCCTACAAATAAAATATAAAATTATAAATCATTTCACTGATACTTAATAATTTTACTAATATTAAAATCAATGCATCGTAACCTTTAAACGCAAATATATTGAAAACCGTGCATTGTTTCGAAATAAACGATGAATTCCTTTTTTACGTAAAATAGTTCTAGCTTTCTATGTCATTTATTGAAATGACTGTATCTATAAGGATAAAAGAGGTACCACCAGTAGTACTCTCTACCCTAATGGAAAGTACCCTTTCAAGGCTGTTACGGAATTTTACATGATCGCCATTCGCTTTGGCATTAAAATGCGTGTAAGAGTACTAAATTTCAGGAAAAAAGGTTTACCATTGTTCTTAAAATGAAACAAAATCTACATATTATAAAATGCTAACGTTTTTCTCTGTCGTCTCTACTGAAGTAACGACTTGCTCTAGAAAGTCGCTTTTTTTACTAAAAGATAGCTAATTGGCTCTTCTAAAAACTGTCGTCGCCGGATTTTTTGTTTTTCATTTAATTAAAAAAAAATAAGAAGTATTTTTTTTCTGATGTCGTGGCGGATGCGCCAGGCTTCAACTAGTATATTATATTAATTTAACCTTCCGAGGGCTGTAACTTCTTCGGAAAGCATTTTAGGGCATATTCTGATAGGAATTTTTCGTTTTATTTTTATCTGTAAAATCGCCCACTGAAGTTCGATACACTATTTGTTGATACCCTCTATAATCAAACGACGTTGTTGATTTTCCATTATCATCTGCAAACTTCTGGAAATACGGTCATTGAAATAAAATCATTTAATAACCGATAAAAATATTTTATGAAAAACTAAGTAGTAGACCTTTAAACGTGCTAAGCGTAATGATTACGAGGCTTTGATGTTCGTAATCGTTACGCATTAGATGCATTTAGTGATTAATTCAAATGTTCATAGATAAGACGGCGGACCCCCTACACAGGTGGTCGCGGACCACAGTTTAAGAAACGCTGATCTAAGTGTATCTTTTCTCGGTAGTTTATTTTTTGGTTCATCTCAATAGCTTTATTTTACTTGGAAATATTCGCTTTTGAAGAAGAGACTAACATTTTTTCATATTTTTTACATTAAAACCATAACTTTGCTTTTGGTCCTAACCAACAGACCTATAAAATAGTGTTTATGATTTATCTAAGTCTGAAAAGTTGATCTCTACCATGATCAATATTTAAAGATCAGTGACATTTCGGAGCAGTTTAAAAGTTTAGGACATCTGGTGGTCTTGTGTATCAATAGTAAATGATTAACGGCACAACTGCTCCTAAAGCCCCATCATACTGTTCCAGTCACAGTCGCAGTCGACTGGAGCAGTTTGACGTTTGGAAACAGTGAAACAGTTAGCGTTTGATTTTTCTTTCATGAATCTAAATAAGATATGTATAGCAAAGTGCTTGGTACTTAGAAACACGCAAATTCTCCTTAATAGACTAAAAAACTTATAATTCACGAGCGAATGTCTAATATTTGGTTTATTCTTTTTTTCAGAGCCTATGATCACAAAGACCACCCTTTCATCCGTGATGAGTACTAAATGAAGCAGTATATATTTCTCTAATCGCCGAATTGCGATAAATAATAATGTACTAGGATAATATATATTTTTTAATTATTGTAATAATTTGCTTTTTATAATTACATTTATTACATGGAAAAGAAACCAAAAATGTGTAAAGGTCCTCTAAGTAGCAATAAAGATTTTTTTTTAATAACAGTTTTATGTTTTAGCGTTTTGTTAAACAAGTATTCAATCACATTCCAACATACAAACAATCATCAGCGGCTGGTAAAATTTGATGTACTATAACTCTTGTTCTGGGACGCGTAAACCCATATGCCTGTACGAGTTCTGAAAGGAGAGAAAAAGTAGAACTGTTTCTGAGTCTAAAACGTCTACAGGGAGGAAGCCATTGGTTGTTGATGACTGTTCTAGGCGTAATAGGAAAACGTGTGCACGCCTTTTACTTAAACAAGAAATACCTCTCTCGATAAATTCAGAAAGTTGTAAATAAAGACGAAAATTTGCCAGTTATAGGAAGACAAAATCTTTGGCTAACCCTAAAGGTAATGAACTTCTCGTGAGAAAAGTACAAACGGATACCTGTACATATTGACAGAGAAGACATAATTCCGAGCATAATTCTTTAGACAAAATATGACTTAATGAAGAACATTCTATTAAGAAAAACTGACAGGACAGCAGTGGGAGTTCTCGTGAAGCGTTTTTAGAAATATTATCGATTGGTGTGAAAATCTCTTCCGGAAAAGGACGCAGGCAATAATAACGCATATTGGGGCAGATAATGGAATCGTATAGAATATACTATTGCAATTTGAATTCAAATCGACCAAGGATTAACAAGATGGCTGATGTTTTTGCAGATTACTTTTCCGAAAAGATAACATTACTTCCAGAAAACTTTGTCATTGTTATTATTCGAGATTAGTAAAAAAATTGTCAACCGCTTCTTTAAGGAAAGGGGACACTATAGGTTAGTTGTCTCAAAAGGATATTTCCTTCGAAAACAAAATGATGTAAAAGGACCTGGTACAAATAGTTAGATAAAGCAAATCACAGTTTAAAAAATAGGTTACTGCCGAAATGGCCAAAAGCGCGTGGAATAAATGTGCTTTGGTTGCCACCCTACCATAGTGTATTAATTCACATCGAACTTATATGGGCACAAATGAAAGAATTTGTAACTCGGAATAACACAACGTTTAAGTTAAAAGATGTGCGAGAACTTGAATATTTCGATAACATAAATCTCTGCAGAAAATTGTACAAATGCCATAAACCACGTCATTAAAAAGAAGCAAAAAATGTGGAATCTTGATAATCCCTTGGAGGAGACAATAGAATCTCTACTATTTTCAGTTGGAAATTCTAACGACTCTGACTTCAGTGAGGACCAAACTAAACCGAGGGTACACACCCTTCCACGGTTGGACTTTGGCTCTCCGTGCCGCCCTTCACAGTCGAGAAGCTTGCCTCCGGCTGAGGAACCCGTGAGGTGGAGGCTGGAGGATCTGTCTCCATTTTCTCCACCTTTTTAACTTAGTATCTCCTTAGACCTGATACAGATGTTGTCCCGTATCTATAATAGAGGATATGCCCCTCTTCCTCTATTGCTTCCTTTCTCTATTGCCTCCTTGGATTTAAGGTCAATTCCTATTGTGAGGACCTGACCATGACCCTCCTCCCTCGAGTTGATAACTCCCCAACTCGATGTCCTTACATTGAAGTTCTGACTCTGGATAAGGCTCAGCAGGTAGGTGGTGTCTTTCCCCTTGCTCCTCGGCAGAAAGACCAGGAGGCCGCCCCTTTAGGGATGTTTTCTCCCTTCACTGCAAAGCAGTTCCGGCCCTTGTCAATTTTTAAGCTTAGGTGCGATTTCCACCAACCAATTCGCCGATTCTTGAGATACACAATCTATGAGGATCATGCCCACCCGAAAGTGTATCCCCGCAAAACGCAGCTGACCCACATTTTGTAGATCGTTGTGTTGCGATCCGATCGCCACTACTTCGTCCAGTATAGCCTCTTCTAAAGACGTTTGCTGGTCAGTGGTCAGAGCAACCTCTGGGAAATCCTTTGGCAGCACCGCCATTTTCACTTGTCCAGCAATAGCGGCAAAGCTGGTGATACGTCCCTACTTGCCTCCCGGTGTTGGACGGCTTTCCACCCTGGCTTTTTTCTCTCGCTGACAGAGAAGAGGTGAGAGGTTCTCGCTCCCTCTCTTGCCCTTTGATGGAGATGAGTCAGGTTGTTTCTTGGTTTCTTTACTCTCCCCTTTTGGAGCAGTCGGAGGTATCTTCGTGCTGCCACGCCCTTTCTAATTCGAAGCTCAATAAAACACAAGTTTACTTAATGCAGAATGAGTTACATAGAGGCCACTAGCTTTTTAATTTTAACAGCCGGGTGGTCGGGGTTCAAAGATATTAATAAAAGGGCGCCACGAGATTATACTCTATGAACTCGGCAATAAAGATGTAACTATTAAGTAGACTTCAACACTAACCTCGAGCTGTTGAGTGCAACTACCATGAACTTCAAATATGCTATAACTCGTTAAACTTAAGTGACTCTAACTTAACTATGAGACTAGACTGTAAATAATAAAAATATTTAAGCAATTTATTAAAATATTAAAAAGTTAAATATATATAAAAAAAACGAATGAAATGTAAAATGTAATATGTTAAGAAATTATTTAAATCGAAAGGTTGGAAAAGAAAATGGAATTTTAAATTAAATGCAATAACTAAACCTATGACGTCAAACCCCCTTATCTAACTTAATACTAGATACAAAGAGGGTGGTTTATACAAATGAAATCTATATTGTACTAATCTAAACTGTCTTACTCTACTCGATATGATATACTTGAAAACTTCCTCTGGCTGAGCTACGGCGTATAGCTACAAGGTTGCTAAGGCGGTGTACAGCAGTTCGGTGTACTGTCACTGGAGCCCACGGATGTCAGCAGAGGTACAGGTGAAAGGTAGGTGTTGATATTTCAAATGGTGAACATAAAAAAACCTTAAATAATATTGGTTGTCTTAGAAAAGAGCCTCAATTATAGAACAAGGACTAGCACAACGTGTAGGAGTTAATGAAGGTAATAGAGAAGGACTAATTAAATCTGAACTTTACCTCAACGAGGGTTTATGATGTCCAATGGGTAACTCTACATACGGGCAACAGAAACGGATGGAATTGTGGACTGTTCTGTGCTACGGTCTGGATCGGTCTTCTTGCTCTACAATTACGAACAACCAAATAAGACTTAAGAAAGATAACACTCAACTAATCTTTCTACACCACGTGGGCGTGGAAAAGTCGAAAACCAGACAACAATATGAACAAAAATCAGTTGAGCATTGACTTAGAATAGGCAGAAGAATTATAGCATACCTTGGAACTGTTCGGGGACTTCTTGGGCACGTGGAATCGGAATATCGGTCGGAGAATTTGGCTATTTAATCCCTAACGGAAATTGGTCGGTGGTCCATGTCAACCCAACAAAATCCAACCACGTCTCTGACCGTATCTGTTTCGGAAGCCTTAATCCTTCTTTACGAAGACCTGCTTTTCACCAACAGGGAATGCTTCACGAAACGGCAGCCAGTTCTTCACGACGACACTCTTCAGCCGGGGAGTACACAAGAAGTGATGCAAGGATTCGATTTCCTTCACAAAATCAGATTTCAACCGGAAATCTCCCTCCAGGATATAGATAGAGAACTATATATCTTGACTAGTCCAACTCACAAAAAGGCATAAATAAAAAACGATGTTCTAGATTATTTTCACAGCCATCTTCGATATCCGGTCAATGAACGAACTAAACTCACAAATTCCCACAATTAAATGAACGAATTGCACACTGCGATCCACATAAAAAATAACCAATTTAACTACGAAATTTTATCTGATAAATATAAAATTTCAATAACCAAAACAAAGGATAAATAAATCCAAAAACATCTGATTTGATCTGACAGTGACAAGGGACAAGTGATGACCAAAGATATAGAGAGATGGACAAAAATTCTAATACTGGGCGGTATCCAGTGACAATATTCTGTGGCTATATAATATCGTGGTGTATAACGGGTTGCATACTCGTAAAATTTAAATAAAATAATATTTAACAATAAAATTATAGTAAACATGATGCAAAAATAATAGCTATTTGCGATATTTTATGAGCTAGCACACAGAGGTCGTTGCGAGGAAATTTGACTGTTACAGTGCTTCTGCTCCGCTAAGACATACTCTCACAGGATCGTCTAGCCCGCCTGGTTGACCCAGGCCGGGTAGATGTTGAGGCCAGTAATGGCTAATCCTCTATCTAGCCACGCATCCCTTTGACCTGGTCCCGCCATCGTAGGATTTATGTTTTTGGTGAGGTTGTCTCCTATTGGCCCAGGCAGTTAATCCAAGACCCCCCACACCCTCTACCCGCGAGACATGACCACAGTCAGTAGAAGGCGCCTGGTATGACCTGGTATGAAGGTGCCTGGTATATGGTGATTTACCGGTCCAAAAACAGCATACTTGATATTTTGCTCGATTCCTTTTCGAGATACAGATTTTTTTTTAAAATTGACACTTTGAATAAGAAGGCTTTGAACGGCGCCGGCTGAAATGCAAAAAAATTCTAGCTGTGAACAGCAATTAAAACGAAAATAATATTTGCTATGAGAGATGCAGAATTTTATAACAATTTAAACTATATTTAACAACATCAACACATTTAAAATATATCAATAACAATAAAAATTAATAGCAAACCAAGACATGAGATTTTGTTACTGGAGATGTACTATTGGAAATGTCGACCATCTTCTGTTATGGACAGACGGGACCGTTTTAAACATTTCTAGCGGAATTCATTGAGCTCCAGACACCGATATTAGTTTTCGTTAAAAGGGTCGAATGTGACCCACCCTGTACACAATAAAGTGCCCTCGACGAAATCTAATAACTAAATACTTCGGCTTCAAGCAAAGATGAAAGAATGACAAGAGTAAAACTGTCGCCAGAAATCGTGCGTTGTACCACAACTCGCTCCTATGGTTCTACCTGTGGTTCTACTTTACAGGGAAATGGATTTGGGCGTACCAGAAATATATTTATATTCATAAAGAGATTTTTTTATAAAGGATGTCCCAATATTCCGTGGACATAGAACTACTACGTATTTT